ACAGGTACTGTAGATGAGGACTAGAATATATTTCCTGAAAAGACATTCAAGTAACGTGTGTGTGTGTGTGTGTGTGTGTAAAACGTTTGTAGATATGTGATTTTTAAAAAGAAAAAAGAATGAGAGAGGCATTTAGCCTGGAGGTTAGGATACCTATGTGCCTTATTGTAGTACATAGGATCTGGTTCATGACTTCAGCTCCCTTGTAATTCAGACCCTACAAAGCAACATGCTGGCTCATGTGGCTGAATTTCTGCCATACAAATTTGAAACTGGATTGAGTTCCCACCTCATGGATTTTGGCCATCCTCAACCCCAGCCACTGTAGGCTTTAGGGTAGTGACCTAACAGATGAGAGTTCTCTGTCTCTTCATCTTTGCTTCCAAAAATTAAAAAGTAGAATTTACTTATGTTAGAAATTATTTAATAGATAAGTATTGTTGACCTATAGTTAGTATATACTTACTTTGAAATTCTGTAGCACTTCTTGTCTTCGTATTATTTGAAGTTTTTCATGTGTTAACTGGCTCTTTAACTTTTCATGTGACAACATTATGTTTCTCTAAATGTGGAATTTGAAATCATCCATTTCAACCAGTCTAAACTTTCACATGCACTAAGCATTCAAGTATTTGCTGATACACATCAGCATTTCAAACATACATCAAACTGAATAATGTATCAAGTTTCTATTTGTATTTGTGTTCTCTGTCTAAAAGAAAAAATAAGTGTAAAATAAGTAGTGGGAATTTAAAATTAATGAGGACATCCTAAATTGGCATAGATAGTCTTAAATGGCTTCAAATTCCCAAGACAACACAAATTTTTATCATTCACCCTGAAAGAAACTGAGAAGTAGACCACCACAAACTGCCAATGAGTCACAGGGAAATAGAAGTGCTAGAAGTGAAAGTACTAGAGGCACTGGGATTTTCAAATTCTTGCAAATACACAGCAAACAACTTGACATCATCAAAACTGATAGAAATAATATGTTATCTAAAAGTTTTAATTTGATTTTGAAGAGATACAGAGATAGAGTGTATCCAGACTTTAGTAAGCCAATTTTCAAGATCTGTTAGGATATTCCTTTGGGTAAGTTAAGAAAATGTAGGTGAGCTATTAGTACACTAGGATAGTTAATTTATAGTTGAGCACAAATAGGTGCTTAATTAGCTTATGTAGCAGCTTTTAAATGTTTTGATCATGGCTCATGGAAAGAAAATTTATTTCATTATCTAGTAGTATTCACATGTATGCTTGAATAAAATAAGCTTCATAAAACAGTATCAATCCTTACAAAATGGATGTGTTTTGATTACTTCTCATTCAATGTATTTCCATTCTAGTTCTTTAGAAAAAAATACTGTTGCTGCAATGCACTAAATCACCATCATGAATCTCTAATAGGTTGGGACTCACAGATTGAATAATGTGAATGGAATACAGCCAAAATCCGTCCACACTTTTCCAGAGCTTGTTCTATTAAGTATTTGGGTGAAGGTTTACAAGGAATGCGCTAATACTTGAAGATAGATAATAAGGAAACTGCAGTAACAGATGATTTGGGGCCTGGCGTGGTGGCCTACCAGATAAAGTCTTTGCCTTGAAAGCCAGGGATCCCATATGGGTGCTGATTCTAATCCCAGCAGTCCCACTTCCCATCCAGCTCCCTGCCTGTGGCCTGGGAAAGCAGTCAAGGACGACCCAAAGCCTTGGGACCCTGCACTCACATGGGAGACCTGTAAGAGGCTTTGGGCTCCTGGGTTTGGATCAGCATAGCATCAACTGTTGCATTCACTTGAGGGAGTGAATCATCGGACGGAAGATGTTTCTCTCTGTCTCTCCTCCTCTCTGTGTATACGTATATGTGTGTGTGTATATATATATATATACACATATATATCTGACTTTCCAATAAAAATCAGTAAATCTTTTAAAAATAATAATAGATGATTTGAATTATGTAATCAGGATCTAAAAATTCTTAACAGATGGAGCTTAAATAGAAAATCTGGAAAAAATTAAATCAAAATCAAATACATACGTACTTTTCTGTGTTTCATGCCTCAAAATCATTATATAAATTACATTACAGAACTATGCTGTTTAGCAGCAGCATGCTACCAGCAAATGAAAACAAGAAACCTTGTTTTTTTATATTGACAATCTCACCATGAGAAGGGAATAGAACTAAGTCATTTGAGAATCTACTACATGACAAATATGAACTATTATTACATTGTATAAATTATTGCTGTCATATTTTTGAAAAACCCAATCCCAAACCAAACCAAGCCGATCTAAATTGATTTAGCGTTACAAGAACTGGAGTTATATGAGTGTACTTCATCAAGTTTGTGAAAAATGAAATTAAAGGCAAGTTTATTTTGCTGCATATATTTTGCATGTTTGTAGTTACATTTGTATTTCTAAAGGTTGAAGTCAAGATAAAAGTTTGTCTTATACTGATTTGAATTCACATAGAATTTGCAGCATTCTGTTCGAATAAAGTTTAGAGAAAATTATTCTTTGAAGAGTAATGCAAATTAATAGACATTTTGCTTAGAGAACTATTCATTTCAAATACATTTATTAAATGTAAATTATAGACCTTGCATGTAAGGTGCTGAAAACAGACACCCAACTGACAATATGCTCTTTTCTCATACCTAATGATGTGAAACGCTGAATGACACTTGCTACTATATGCTTAAACACATTGCCTCTTTCTTCCCTCTGTGAAACAGTAACGTCATCCTTCCCCCAAGTTGAACAAACTGAGGGTTTGAAGTCAAGTCATTTGTACAAGATCATGAATCTCAACCTAGGTTGCACTGACTCTGGAGTACGTTTCTCAACTTCTGGGCAGTAAAGCCCCACGTAAATATATATAACATTGACATTCATCATACATGAATGCAAATGCTAAATTAATGGTAATCTGCAGGGAAATAGGCTTTGTAGGCCAAAAAGAAACAGACTTGCTCTTATCTGTAGCTGTATATTTCTGCAGAAGGTATTAAAACATGCAATTGTGAAATCTTAAAGATCTGTCCGTAGCTACATTTGGTCTTTTGAGTCTTCATAGGTTATTCAAGGCTTACCAGGACTGCATATTCTAAGAGGCTATGCTTGTTACTGAACTGAAATGGTTTATGGAAATTTCCACTTCCCTATAGGACAGGAGCTGAGACTGAAGTTTAGAAAGTCTGAATGGATGGCAGAGGTGGTTAAGTTGTGAGGATAATTTCTTTTCATAGCAACATGCAGGAGCTGAATCTGCTGGAGAACCCTTGTTAATGGGAACTCCCTCTTAAGTAGCTCTAAAATTTTATTAAGTAGGAGAGTATTTAAAAGATTTGTGGAATTTTTTTTTGTAAAAATTTTAAGCTCTTGCATGTCTTTTTAAAAATATTCATTTCCATGAACTTTTAGAAAGCCCTTCATATGGGAAAGTGGTCTCTCTCTCTTTCAAGATTTTTTCATTTGTATTGTAAAGTGAGATATACAGAGGAGAGATAGAGAGGAAGATGTTCCATCTGATGATTCATTCACTTCTCAAGTGGCTGTACTGCCTGGAGCTGAGCCAACCCGAAGCAAGGAGCCCAGAGCCTCTTCCAGGTCTCCCTTGCAGGTGTAGGGGCCCAAAGCTTTGGGTTGTCCCTATACTGCTTTCCCAGGCCATAAGCAGGGAGCTGGATGGGAAGCAGGACCTCCAGCATATGAACTGGTGCCCATATGGGATCCCTGGCATGTGCAAGGTGAGAACTTCAGCCACTAGGTCACCATGCCAGGCCCAGGAAAGTGGTTTTCTTCTTGTAAAGTGATCTTCTCTTTACCCACTAATGATCTCTACTAGAGAAACAAGAAAAACAAAAGGCAAAATGCTTATAATAGTGTTTCAGCAGCAAAACAGGAAAAAATCAAAACAGAAATGCTAGAATGTTGCCGAGCTGTTCATTTACAAAGGCAATAGAGTTGAAGTGGTCACTGTTTCCCAATGTTTTCATGCAAGATCTCTAAAAATAGCAAGGATAGAACTTGTTGTCATCTCTTTCTCTCTCACATACATATACAAGTAAGTATACATTTATATTTATACACAAATGGCTTTAAAAATTTTAATGTGATGATTAGACTTATGTATTGAGAAAAAGACATATCATTTTAAATTTACAAATGAAACAAGGCTGCTAGAAGCAGATGATACTGCTTTGGGACAGGCATAAGTACTGAACATGGATAAACAGGAGTTTTTCAATTATACCATGTCTCAAGTCATATATATTAAGACATATGTTTTGTAAATCTCAGACTTTCTTTTTTTTTTTTTTTAAGATTTACTTATTTATATTGGAACGTCAAGTATATACAGAGAGGAGGAGAGACACAGAGGAAGAACTTCTATCCGATGATTTACTCCCCAAGTGACCACAATGGCCAGACCTGGGCTGATCTGAAACCAGGAGCCAGGAGCTCCTGCGGGTTGCAGGGTCCCAAGGCTTTCCACTGTTCTCAAGAACAGCCTGCTTTCCCGGGCTGCAAGCAGGGAGCTGGATGGGAAGTGGGGCTGCTGGGATTAGTACTGGCCCTCATCTGGGATCCTGGCTAGCAAGAGGACTTTGGCCTCTGGGCCACCATGCTGGGCCCTCAGACTTTCAATGATGATAGCATCTAACGATTTAATTGCAGCTTAAGAGCACGAGCAAATTACCATTTCTTTGAGAAATGTTTGCCAATTTTAACAATTCAATCATTTCAGTGTAAGTTTAAGCAAACAGACTAAAAACTAATCCTAACTGCCTGTTTTGAGGAATTGTAACCTGTCGCAGTTTAGAGATTTATTGTGTTTTCATATAGGACTTTGCCTGATTAGTTAAATATAACTGATCCAGAACTGCATTATGATAGATTTGTATATTGACTTTCTGATATGACAATTAAGACTTATTCTGGTGACTTATTACAGATCTTACTGAAAAGGACAGACCTCATGATTAGAAAAGAAATCACGTCTTTTATTTGGAGGAGGAAACCAGCAGTCTTATGTGTTATGTAGTTTTTATTCAATACTAGTAGCAAGATCATGGAGTACCTTTTAGTTCTTTAAAACTAAAAGCATTCTTTTCTCCCCGCCCCCCTGGCTTGCTTCTGTCTCTATGTGGACACAGAAACCTAATTTTCCCAAAGAACAAGGTTGCTGGTGAGAATAATCTGTATTTTCAGAAGTCCACTGGGCTGTGCAGGGCTATCAAAAAGGACACATCCTTATCAGCTGGCATCACACTTGGTTTTTAAATTTTGCCGCTCCTACCAAAATGCCCCACTGTGTCTCACAGGGCAGCTTTCCCCCCTCCCTCCTGTTTTTGTTGGACTGGGAAGTGAGTTCAAGAGCTGTTTGTGGAGCCGAGCCTGATCCGGAGAGGATCCCTGTTTGCCAAGTTCTATTTTAAGTCGCTCCTATGTGTGCAGGTGTCAACCTCTTTCACCGCTATGGAAAAAGACCCATCACGCTCCGTCTGTGTGCTTTCTGGACAATGCAGGATCCTTCTGTTCAGTGCGTTGGTTCGGGCTTCGCCAGTCACTGTCTGGGGAGGAGGACATTCAAGGGTCGGGGAAGGAGGACAGGACTTCGAGGAAGGGCGAACAGGGGCCTAAGGAGGTCTTGTGCCACTCCCCTACCTTTCAAGGCACGTGGCACTGGCGGCGGCAGTAGCAGCTGGAGGCAACAGCGGTGACGACGAACCTCCTCCTAGCGAGAGGGTATTGAAGAGAAGGAGGAGGTGGCAGCGAAGCAAGACATGCACGCTGTGTCCTTCCCCACAGGGAGAATCCACCCTCAAGGGGAAAACCACAAGGAAGCCACTGCCGCCCCACCTCTGCCAGCTCGCCCCAGTGTCTGGCAGCCGTCCCCATGCACCTGCTCACCTGTCTGTCCGTGCGGGGCGGTTGGGGGAGGGACGAGGGGTGTCGGGGTGGGTGGGTGGACCCAGAGGGAGGGCAGGGCGAGAGAGGGGGTGCACAAGGACTCCGCCCCCCGGAGGCGCTGCGCAGGCGCAGTGGCCGCTACCGCAGGCAGGGGGCGGCAACATGGCGGAGTGAGCGGCGGCGTCGGGGTTTCACAACAACAGTGGGCGCCCGGAGCAGCGGCAGCGGCGGCGGCAGTAACGTCGGCCACGGCCTCAGCTTCAGCACCGGCCAGCGCCTCCTCCAAGCCGCTGGCTCTCCAGCCTTCTCGGGAGCGGCGGCAGCATCTCTGTGGAGAAGAGGAGGAGGGGGGGCGGGCCGGGCCGGACGGACCAGAAGGGGGAGAGAGAGAGAGAGAGAGAGAGGGAGAGAGAGAAGGCAGCGGCAAGCAGCCGCCGCACAGCTGCTGGGCGGGCACTGCCGCTCTCGGGGCAGCGGTTAGCGGCGCCGCCACCGCCGGCCAGCAGCCCGAGGACCTCCCGCCGCCTCCGCCGGGGAGGACGCCGCAGCGGGCCGGGCTGAGGCGGGGACGGGGCCCGGCGCCGCGGCGCTGGTGGATGCGAGGGCTCCGAGGCGACGGCCGGGGGGCGGGGGCCGAGGCAGGTATAACGGTACCGGCGGAGGCAGCGGCTCCTCAGGAGGGGCGCCAATGGCGAGCGAGAAGCCGGGCCCGGGGCTCGAGCCTCAGCCCGTGGGGCTCATCGCCGTCGGGGCCGGCAGCAGCAGCAGCGGCAGCGGCAGCGGCGGAGGTGGCGGTGGTGGTGGCGGCGGCGGCGGGGGCAGCAGTGGCAGCGGTGGCAGCAGTGGCGGCGGGGCCGGTGGGATGGGAGAGCTGAGGGGGTCGTCCGGCTCCGGCTCGGTGGTGCTCCCCGCGGGGATGATTAACCCTTCGGTGCCGATCCGCAACATCCGGATGAAATTCGCAGTGTTGATTGGACTCATACAGGTCGGAGAGGTCAGCAACAGGGACATCGTGGAGACGGTGCTTAACCTGGTAAGACACCGGGCGGGCTCTTGCCCTTTTTTTGCATCCCTAACTCCCTCCCCACCTCCCCGCCCCGCTCCCCAGGCCCCCACATCCTCTGTCCCCGGTGTTGTGGTTCGCACCCCGTCCACCCCCGGGGGTCACACGGCGCCGCGAGTTCCCGGGAGCGCAGCTCGCTGGGGCGGCATCGCCGCGGGTGACCTCCTGCGCTCTGCCCACGCCGCGCGCCACCTCCCTTCTGGTCTCCGGCCGCCCGGGGCACAGCGCCCAACTTCACCCCGCTGCTCCTTATCACTTCTCCTGACGGCGACACAGTCCTTCCTGGCCGTGAAGGCTGTGGGTCCACTTTAAGAGTTGAGTTGGGGGTGGGGTGGGGATGAGGAGGCCTCCTGTTCTCTGGGGTTCTTTTCACCCACACTCTTTAATTGTGCGTGGTGTCGCTCTGCGAGGATGACAGCCTTGCCCCTGGAGCCTAAATTCCCCCGTGCTCCTGAAATGTGAGAAGCGGATTAGCTCCAACTTGAGCAGCTGGGGTGTGATGTTTTCGAGGGAGGAGGGAAATGATGCAGTTTTGCATCTGTCTTTAAATCTATTCCGAGCCTGTGATGGAGGAGAGTGCTGTACGGTATCCAACCTCCCCCCCCCCATCTTCGGCAGCCTCCCGTCTTTGTAACATTGTCCTGAAAGTGCTCTTCCCTTAGTGATTTATGATGCTTCACAAGATGTTAAATAAAATGTGAGGACACCACATCACACAGGTTACCTTGCGTGCGTACCTCCAGGAGCATGGCATGTGCTTAAAGAACTAAGCAAAGATGTTAAATGGTTTTGGTTTCTTTCGTGGTAAGAAAGAGTTACTGCAGAACTGTGTATGACTTCATGTTTTGCGCTATCTACAGAGGCTCAGAAGCGTTCAAGATGTCAGGGAAAGGAAAGGGAAGAAATAAGGACAGGAGAATCATAAATTGACTGTAATTAAGAGTAGCTCATTTTTAGTGCTCTGTAAACGCAGGGTTTTTTTTTTTTCCCTCCTGCAGCAAAGCTTTTCAATCATTTCCCCCCTGCAACATCTAGTCTTTGAAGTATTGTATAGTTGGATTTTGGTTGGCAAGATGTAAATCAAAGGCAATCAGTTGGCTATTGTATTTGTGTGAAGTCACAGGAGTATTAAAATATAGCACCCATGCAGTCTTATTTTTCGACTAAGCAATTATTTTTATTTGGTCTGTTAGAAGACGGAAGGAAAACTGCAGCTAGAGCAGTGGTGCACAGAGACATGGATTAGATAATGTCTACAAGGTTTATGAACCTCTTAAATTCTCAGAAAAGTTGAAGCCGTTCTTTCTTCTTCCCTCCCTCTGGTGTATCAAGTCAAAGATAGATGATCTGTCTTTACTTTGTGGTGATTATTACTGTCTAAATCAAAGAAACTTCTCTGCTTTTGTTTATCCTTCACATTGATGAGCACAGGAAAAGTCAATGTAAGTTTGGGAGAATGTCCCCACGTTGATGTAGCCACTTATTTTCAAAACACTATTAAGCATGCAGTTTTCCTAGGCGTTTTCTTTTTAACTAGCTGCACATAGGATGTCAGTCCTAGTCTTTATTTTGCTGTTGTTGTTTTTAAGAGATGAAATCTCGAAATATGTCAGTAGGTACTAAATTTCTGCTCAGAGGAACACATTGTAAGTTTTTGTGGTTTTGTGTGTGTGTGTGTTCACCCAATACCACTTTTACTTTAGATAATGTGATGATAGTGTTTGTATCCTTCCTTGATAGGTTTTAACGTAATAGGCAATAGAGCTGTCACAAGCTGGAAGCTGATTTGAATGTGTAACTAGTTTGGTCTCTGCAGCAAGATGTGTGCTGGATCAGGTCTTAACACATGGGATTCTGCAGACACAAAGTAGACTAGGAAAGGAAGTGAAACAGTTCTCTAATGGGCAGAAGACAAATTTAACTCATAAACAGGAGGAAAATGTGGCATGAAGCCTCAGTGTGTGGAGTTTGGAGATTAACCTCACAGTCCTTAGAAACAAGGTGATCTGGAAATGGTGTATCCTCACATCTACTCAAGACCTTATAGCTGTTGATCTTTGGGATTAAGAAAGGAAAGTTAGGATTAAGGTTTCTTTGGGTATATTTAAGAATGCAAGAATTTTCTAATGGAAATGTATTGGAGAAAAGGAAAAAAAACATAATAAAATAAAAATTTTGTTATTGTTAACATTGATTCTGAAATAGCAGTTAGTCATTTGGAGAGTAATATTGTCAGAGTTACGGGTTTAGGACTTTATTGTTCCTGGATGTACATGATGAAAGTTGTCTTGTGCACATTTATGCCAGTTCTCAAAAACTTCAATGTTATGGAAAAATTAAGGTGGAGATAATGAGATACCTGTGATAGTGCCTTGTGTGACAAAAAAGAAAGGGAACTCCGTGAACTACACTTCAAAACTGTTTCTACTGCAAACAATGCCTTTTTCTTCATCCCCTTTGTCAAAATATTTCTTTTCTTCTTGGTTCATTCTTTTCATGAGAATACTAATGCTTGTGTTTTAGGCTTTTTATTTTTACATTTGCCTTGCTTAAAGAATCTAAACTTTTGCCTAGTAAAGTTTAAACATAGAGCAAAATACAGGACTACCTTAACACAGCCTTGGTTGTGATTCTTTCTGCTTTTGTTTGTCAAACATAGATTCCATTTCCAGTACTCAGGTGGATGTGGGAGTTTGATGAAGAACAACCAGTGTAATGAAGAATAAAATGAATGGATGGATTCATTGTAGTTGCATGTATTTTGTATAATGATATTAGAGTTGACGTAAAACATTACAAAATAAGATGGATAGTTTCAGGAAAACAAGTAAATTAGTTTATAAGTAACATTACATTGAGAATGTATTATCAAGGATTTTGCATTGTAGCTTTATCAGTTAAACGGATCTGATCATCATCAGTCTGACTTCACAAGGAATTCTTTAATTTGGCAGTATCAGACAGCTTAACTGTAGAAAATAAATTTTATTTCTTGATTTCAACTGCAAAGGAGACAATCTATTGCTTCTTTTGTACACACATTTGACACTTGTTTATATAAGGTTTCTCTTTCCAAGTAGTAAATGCTGTGTAAATATCATGTGTTGTCACTGTGTATAGCATGGTAGTTTCTTTTTATCACATTTAATATAAACACTTTTATCACATGCTTTAATAATATTTACTTAGAAGATTACACAGTAGGGGTTTTTTGAATAGCTGTTTTTTGTAGTACAAATGTAAAATTAAAATTATAGTATTTAATTATAGACTTGAAGGTATTCTCATGAGTTGCTGAATTCAAGAGTTTTTCCAGTGACTTCTGTTTTTATTTTTCATGAATTGCCATGAGAAATCAGTGGTTTTTAGCTGCAGAAAATGCTATTTTCTCCAATTTAAATTTATTTATTTTTTTACTTTTGAAATGATATGCTGATTTACTATCTTGAAGACATAACAAGATACTTTGAGTTTTATAGACTATTATTATTTAAAGATTTATTTATTCTTTGGAAAGTCAGATTCCCAAATGGCCGCAGCTGAGCCAATCTGAAGCCAGGAGCCAGGAACAGCTTCTGGGTTTCCCAAGCAGGTGCAGGGGCCCAAGGATTTGGGCTGTCCTCTTCTGCTCTCCTGGGTCCTAAGCAGGGTGCTGGATGGGAACTGGAGTAGATGGGGCATGAACAGGTGCCATTATGGGTTGCTGGTGATTGCAGGGAGAGAATGAACCAGTTGTTATTGCACTGGCCCAGATTTTATAGATTTTTAAATGCCTCTCCTCTTGGCATGTGGGTCATATTGTTTTTGTTAAAGGATAATTTTGTTTTTTGTACTTGAATGTGGCAGCATCTCCTTCTTTAGAAATTTTCACCTATGCTGTAATTTTCATTTCAAAGCTGTTTGGAATTTTACAAATGAGAGGCATGTTTTGCATTTGAATTTATTTAAAAAAATAACTGCATCTTACATTCATGGAAATACATAATACTAATGAAACTACATTTATTTTTGTTAGAAGAGTTTCCTGCATTTTAATTTATGTTGACATGTAAGTCTTTTCGTATTAACTTGAATTGTCTTTTTTTCTTGCTGTTAAGTGTAGAATTAAAGTTGTGTATGGTATAGTATGGAATGTTTCAGTGTCAAAAGTTCAAGAGGTTTTCTACAGAAATAGTAATTTATTCATTAATGACATCAAAGTAGTAAATATTGTGTAGTTTGTTTGTGATCAAGTTACATTAATTTCAAAGTATTTATTTGGAAGGCAGAGCAAAAGAGAGGTGGAGAGTTAGGAAGACAGACACACACACACAGAGCTATCTGCTGGTTCCATCCGGCCTGTGGTGAAACAGGAACTCAGTGTAGGTCTCCCAAGTGGATGGCAGACACCCAACTTCCTGCTGTGTTCTAGGGCACAGGTTAGCAGAAAGCTGGAATTGGGAAGGGAGCTGGGACTGGAATACAGACACTGTGATGTGTCTGGTGAATATCCCAGCCAGCATCTAAACTGTGAGGCCAAACACTGCTCCAAAATTACAGTATTTCAACATCTTTTTATATTGCTAGTCCGATTTTGGCACAGATGGTACTGTTAATGAAGACTAAAAATATCTCAAGGTTCTTTATGTTGTTCCTAAATACTGTATAAAGACATTCATTAGGTCCAATGAACCAAGCCCCTGGTTTGCAAATTGATACAACTGTATATAGTAAAGATCAATTACTCTTTTTTTGATTAAAATAATTGTTATATATCATATATAAAGATGTTTTAGTTTTTGCCTATTATTTTTTAAACCTTATTCAGCCAGCCTATATCTTTTATTTTGCACTTAATTCTCTAATATTGGAGTTATTTATGTATGTGCAATTCGTGAAAGACTGCCATTGATTTCTTATATAGTTATTTCTGGGTTTTGGTTAAGTTAAATGCACTTTAATTTTGGTAGCATTAATTAGGACTAGTTTTT